AGAAATTTACTTGGGAACCCGACGTTACATATTAATTAATTAAACTATTAATTAATTAACAAAACAAGTCGTTCAAATAAATATCTTTCTAGATCTGCTTCATTTTTGTTCTAACCCAAAATGACACTGTTATTTATAATAATATTACCAGACTTTGTTATGCCTATGGGCACTAATCTCCATCAATATGGGTTTGTGATTGAGATTGAGATTTAAGACTTTAGGATTAGGTTAAAGAGAATTTTGAGTTTGCATTTTTTTATGAAATGAAATTAAATTATGAAAATAAGGGTTTTTATACGTCTAAAACTATAGGTCCATCAATTTCACATGACTATGAAAAATAGTAAAATACTTGCGAACTGACAACTTGTTTGTGTTTTTCACATGATTGACATTTTCACACCCCTACACTGTTAAACTGATGTCTATTTGCGTCTATTGTTTAAATTTAAGTCTTGGAACAAGCTTATGAAAATCTAGTTATGCTTATATTTATATTAGGAGAATCCTCGCGCGTTGCACGAAAATATAATTATATAGTTAAAATAATAACTCTTAACAAATTATTAATTAATATTTTTACTTTGAAAACTAATGTTAGTAAAAAAGAAAACATATAGTTAACATATTAGTTTTATTAAACATTATGGTTTTAAGTCATTGTGATGTATATCATTATTTGATGAATTTATAAACTGTTAAAAGTTACGTAAATTATATCAAACTTATGATATATATATATATATATATATATATATATATATATATATATATATATATAACGAATAACAAAAATTATGAGAAATAAACATTACAACTTTTGATAACATAAAAATATTAAAATATCTATTATAACATTTGTATTAACATAAATTTGATATATATAAACACTATTATCCAAAGATTCAACAAAACTAATTTTTTTAAATCTTCATATTTGAATCATAAATCTCTTTAAACACATTAATGTTTTTAGTGAGCAAAACTTACGTATATACTACTAATATAAGTTCCAAAGTTATAAATAAAAGGAATAGAAAAATAAATTAGTCATTACTACTTAATAACTATAAGTTAAAAATGATGGGTTTTGAGAATAACAACATTCCTATGTGTTCATGCAACCCTAATTGATTTGGATATAAGTTTTTCTCTAGTTATACATACAAATAGATCTTCCAAAGCAATAACCCTAATACTAGCATACAATTTCAGAAAAACAATATGAAACTAGGGTTTGATTGTTACCTCTCTTGTTATCTCGTAATAACAAGTAATCCAATGATGATCTTGACTCTTGAAAGCTTGAGTGCCTCAAGTGTTTCACCTCTAATGGAATCACAAACACCAAAAGCAAAGGATGAGTGAGATAGGGGGCAGAATTTCGGCTAGGGTTTCTCTTGGAAGCAGTGATCGAATTCTTGAGGTCTAAGGGTCTTTAAATACTTGTGGCTGCTATGGTTTCCAGGTGAAACCCTAATTCTTGACTTAGGCTCCAAGCAGTCCATGAACCCACCTTCTAGAAGGCCTTGAACGATTTCTATAGGGCCTCCTATAGAATTCGACTATATATATATATATATATATATATATATATATATATATATATATATATATATAAAAATAAAAAGAGGAGAGAAGCAAGTGTTTTTTATATAGCCAAATATCTCAATTAAATTATTCAAACAACAAAAGTTAAAGAGTTGAAGATTTTCAAATGAATATGGTTCAATATAGATAGTATATCTTGAATAATATCCATTTGAATGATCTCCTTCATAATATATAAATAGATAGGAATAGACAATATATTATCATTCCTAAACATTAGTATCAAATGTTAGATAAAAATCATAAGAGAAAACATCACACAAACCTCCAAACCCGAGAGCAAAATCTACATGTCAAAAAAGAGAGAAAAATGAGTTTAGCGCCAATATATTTGGGAGAGAAGTGATCTATTTCATTCTCCAAGAGTATACCTCCAATTCTAGAGCTTTGTGTCTTATTTTGGTAAAAAAAAACCAAAGTGACACCTACAGAGATAGGGTATCCAGAGAGACTCCTAAAAAAATAAAAAACAAAATAAGGAAAAAAGTTTATGGATTGGGGCTCTTATTCTTGCTTCTATTAAGTTCCAAATATTTTCATTAAGTCATACAAAAGAGTAACTTAAACTTGGAAAGACTTTGTTCAAGTTTTTATCAAATTTCAAGCATTATTATAAAAAAATCATATTACGATTACCATTGTTGGAACATAACCGATTTCTTCAACTGTTCATATCATGAACGTTTGAACTATATGAAAACTTTTTGTGAAAAGATAATACTAATATTTGAATAGTAAACATATGAACTAGTTAACTGCATGAAAGTTTTTTGAATCACAATACATTCAACTATATGAAAGCTTTTTGTGAGAAAATAGTAGCAATATAGGTACATATATATTGATAGAATGCAAAAAGTTATTGGAAATTCATAAATAATGTAAATGCTATTAATTAAGAAATATAAAATATCATTTAGGTTTCAAATCAATAAGGTTTAAAAAAACTATTTACCACTAACCATATAAGTTTGAATGACAACATTTATAAGCAAGGTTATAGAACTCGTTACTCTGTACCTGTTTGGCCGACTACCGAGTAGCGAGTAATCGGGAGTACTCGATGAGTACTCGGATTCATTAATTCATGTAGAAATATTTTTAGGAAAATTATATATGTCAAAATCATAAGTTAAAATCATAATTTGATTGAAATATATAACAAAATTAGATACATATGAATACAAAAAAACTGAAAAACACAGAATGGTCTCACTTTGTGAATAATTGCTGAAAATTTAATATATATATATATATATATATATATATATATATATATATATATATATATATATATATATATATATCTATATATATATATATATATATATATAATAACAACTAGAAAGGTTACCCTCGCTACGCGGGGGCCAGAAGCTTTCAATGTTGTTTCCGAATCGATAAATATGACAGACGTAGAAAGTGCAAGGATGACAAGCCCGGGCTTTGCCCCGGACCGTTTTCTTCATGTTTTTATGAAAAAATGTAAAAGTTTTGACTGCAAGGACCAGAAGTGTCAAAATGGCTAAAGAATTAAAGCGGTAGGAATTAGCAAGTTTTTAGAAAAGGGATCAAAGTTGTCGAACCGTTAAAGTTTTGTGGCCAAACTTTAAATATTAAAAGGTTCCTAAATAGAAAAGGGATCAAAGTTGTCAAACCGTTAAAGTTTTGTGGCCAAACTTTAAATATTAAAAGGTTCCTAAAAAATGTAAAAATATCGATTATAAGGACCAAAAGTGTCAAAATGGCTAAAAAATGAGGACCAAAGTTGTCAAACCGTTAAAGTTTTGTGGCCAAACTTTAAATATTAAAAGGTTCCTAAATAGAAAAGGGATCAAAGTTGTCAAACCGTTAAAATTTTGTGGCCAAACTTTAAATATTAAAAGGTTCCTAAAAAATGTAAAAATATCGATTACAAGGACCAAAAGTGTCAAAATGGCTAAAAAATGAGGACCAAAGTTGTCAAACCGTTAAAGTTGTCAAACCGTTAAAGTTTTGTGGCCAAACTTTAAATATTAAAAGGTTCCTAAATAGAAAAGGGATCAAAGTTGTCAAACCGTTAAAGTTTTGTGGCCAAACTTTAAATATTAAAAGGTTCCTAAAAAATGTAAAAATATCGATTACAAGGACCAAAAGTGTCAAAATGGCTAAAAAATAAGGACCAAAGTTGCCAAAGTACAGGGACCAATTCTGCCAAAAAAACAACATAAAGTCCAGGGACTAAAATAGACAAAAATTGTGGAAGTTCACTATTCATAAGAAACAATTTCCATAATATATATATATATTTAAAAGGTTCCTAAAAAATGTAAAAAATATCGATTACAAGGACCAAAAGTGTCAAAATGGCTAAAAAATAGAATCAAAGTTGCCAAAATATAGGGACCAATTCTGCCAAAAAAACAACATAAAGTCCAGGGACTAAAATAGACAAAAATTGTGGAAGTTCACTATTCATAAGAAACAATTTCCATAATATATATAACAATAATCACGTGTGTGTTAAATAATAAATCATTAAATATGTTATCATATTAATCACCGAGTTTTACAACATTGATCATTTCAGTAAGGGCTCAATCGGGGAGTAATCGGGATTATGTAACTCGCATCGATAAGGGGCCGAGTAGCGAGTACTCGGAGTAATCGGCTCGGCGAGTTTTACAACACTGTTTATAAGTGATAAATAGATAGATAGATTTGAGTTGATTACAAAAATTATATTATACCACAATAAGCCGATATCAGTACCCCAAAGAAGAAATGCTTGGCTGTCGCAAGATTTAACAGAAAAAAAGTAAAGGAGTAATTAGCACCTTGAGAGAATAATGCATGATGGATAGGAAGTTGTTATTTAACCTATAATGTCGTGAGTCATTATGAGTCATGGCGTATGTTTATTATAATCACATAAAGATATATGTGATCAAATTTACATTGATGCCATTGTATTTTACAAATATCAAAACTACCACCCACCCACAGACCCACGTTGCAAAAAGAAGTGCAGGTAAGGTTACTTGGTTTGGATATTATTATTTTTTGTCTTGTAATATCACCCCAAGTCACAATATGCGACAAAAAAGGTAAAAAAAGATCTTCACGATAAATTGGCGAGATAACTAATTTGTCGTTTTATGGGTACGAAAGTGGACACGTGGAGCGTGATGGTGATATTTGGATAAGACGAAAGGACAATACAATATTTCCAGCAGTTAGATTATGTAGGGCCTAGTTTGGATTAAATCCATACCGTCAGTTACGCTCCTCACAGACCGTCGTATTATCTACTCCCTTCCTGTATAGTTAGCTTTTAACTTAACCATAGTTAAGAAGTCGATTTATATATCAGCTCCCTGATCAGAGAACAGAGAAGACAGGAAGAAATGGTGATCACTGGAAGAGAAACCCTTAATTTACATCAGTCAGTCGGCGCCGGAAGCCATCCATGGGAGATGATACTAGAAGTTCCAAGCGCGAATGCCTTCTTGCCGTTCTCCGGTAGCTTAATGAACGACGACGGATCGGCCATGTTTGAAGAGTTAACTACGATGCAGCTCCATCACCTCCTTTCGAACGTGGAAATGGCGGAATACGGTGATCATGCTTATGAGGTTGGGGAGGAGTGCGGCGATATACAAATGGATGATCAGTTTTGTATGTATGAGTTCAAGGTGAAGAGGTGTGCACGTGGGAGGTCACATGACTGGACTGACTGTCCGTACACTCATCCCGGCGAGAAGGCTCGCCGCCGTGATCCACGTAAGTTTCATTATTCCGGTAATCCTTGTTCGGAGTTTCGCAAGGGATCGTGTGTGAAAGGCGACCTATGTGAGTTCGCACACGGTGTGTTTGAGTGCTGGCTCCATCCGTCGCGCTACCGTACTCAGCCGTGCAAGGATGGCGTCCTGTGCCGCCGGAGAATCTGCTTCTTCGCCCACACTCCTGAACAGCTTCGCATCTTGCCGCCGAGTCGCCATGTGTCGACTCACTCCAATCGTCCCGAGTCGTACGACGGTTCTCCCCGTCGACTGGTAACAGACTCGCACTTCGGTTCGTCCCCAACTTCTACTCTGTACTTCCCCCATTGCTCAACGCCGACGGATTCGCCGCCGATGTCGCCTGTATCGTCTCTTGGTCCTAACCCATTCGCTGATCTGGCTTCCTCGATGCGGAATCTGCAAATTGGGAAGGCCAGGAGGTTGGGGATGAGTCTGATGAATGGATCGCCGTATAGTTCACCGCACACTCCATACGCCGTCCGACCGACTCCATCACGTCCGTCATTGAAAGCGTTGGAGGTATGGGAAGAGGGTGGTGCGACGGAGGAGCGGATGATGGAAAGGGTAGAGTCCGGTAAAGGGGTTAGAGCTCAGATTTACGCTAAACTCAGCAGGGAGAACTCGCTCAGTGAGTCGTGTGGTGTGTGAACTCGGCACGTCAAATTGACCTTTAATTAATGTATATATATTTACTATTTAGGATGAGGATAATGGAAGTGGAATATTAAAAAAATATTAAATGGCTGTAGATCCTGGTGCCACGTGGATTTTCTTTTTGATTAAGTAATGTCGCTTTACTTTTAACTCTTTTTCTTATGTATAAAACAACCTAGTTTACAAAATGGCGCTTATACTTTATTAGTCTCATAGTCTGCCTATTTTCACATAAATTTTAGTTTTTTTTAATCGGCAATTTTATTAAACACAGGACATGAATTTTAGTTAAAATACAAAATGCTGGAATGTGTAGAAGATCCAGATTCCACAAAGAATGGAGGAGGGGGTGTGTCATTGTTGGACACTTGGTGTAATCTTATAAGTCTTGTAAATTAAATTTTAATCTATTTTAGACTTATATGGTATTCTGATAAGTGGATAAGTGTACGTATGTGAGGAAACACGACTTTAAAAGGTAACCAAGTGTTGAATTGTTCAAATTTGGTCTATTTTTTTTTACTTATACCATTGAACTTGTTACCCAATCTTAGAATGTCACGTCGAATTTAATGGGCTCTATTGGTCCCCCAAGTTCTTCACAAGTCGTATAATCAGGTTGGATGTGGAAATAAAGCAACCAAAATGCTTAATATCCACAACTCCGGATGTGAGGGTTGGCTGGGGTTGTTTGTATGTTAGCATTGTTTGCGATTGTTTTTCTCTTTTATTTTTTTCTTTCCTTTTTTTTTTTTCTGAATATTTTGTATGCTTGCTAGCTCCACGCTAGCAGTTTATTTATAATATATTTTGTTGTCGTTTAAGAAAAAACTTGTTATTCCTGCTCACCAAACCTTTGCGACCGGTTATCATCTGTTTTGCCGGTTTTTTATTTTAAAACTTTTAATTACGAATGACATATCGTATCACGTGAACTTAGAAGACATTTGATCCTCGTTTCTCTCTCACCCATTTTCTTCTTAAATTAGGGTTCATAGTGAAATTGCAGAAAATAGTTCAATCGAAGATTAGGGTTACAAAATTGAAGAGAATTGGTAAATGCGAGTGTTATTGTGAAGAAGATGGCCTCCGATTCCACACGACGTAAGTATTTGAAAGTTAATGTACATTATAATGGTTTGTTCGCACCAAAACCATTAGCGTGGACGTTGTTGTTGTTTCAATCTGTGATGTCGATTTTGGTGCAATGGATCTCAAAGAGTTTCTTTTGTTCCTTCAAAAGTTGATTAAAGGTAGTTGCGATAATGTATATTACTGCACTAGAAATGAACCATTGGCAGAGGGTATTAGGAGAACTGGGAATGATGCTGACTACTTTGCGTTTATTGATACGGGTTATAGTGATGAAATGGTCTAAGAATGAATGTGTATATTGACCACGAAAATGAACCTGTACTTGATTGGGCTCTTGATTGGGCTGATATGGAAGTAGTAGAAGATGATGAAGGGCATGATTTTGAGCAAGACCTGAAGACCTGGATGATGACAATGATTTACAACTTTCTGATGATATTCTATATGAGCATGAAACAGATGATGAGGTTCCTTCTCTTAACAAGACTATTGATGATGATTTTTTGCACCACGTGTCAAGTATTTGTAGGGATACAAATGATGAGGTTGAAACCAACAATGGGGATAACAAACCAGTGTACCTTGTCCATAATGAGAATCATAAATTAGACAAAACGGTGGCAATTCTAGGTATGAGATTCTCTAACCCTCTGGAATTGAAAATTTGTGTGACTAACTATGCAGTAAAGAATGGCTATAACCTTTATTATGAGAAAAATGATAGTCAGTGGTTGTCAGTAAAATGTTGTAAAGATAACAAGAACCCCTCTTGTCATTTTAGATTGTGGGCTTCCTGGATGAGTAGTGAAAGGTCTTTCCAGATTAAGTCCTTAATTGATGACCATAATTGTTCAAGAGTCTTCAAACTTGGTTCCATTGTAACATACAAATGGATTGGAAAACATTTTAAGAATCAACTTTTGCAGAACCCCAAAATGAGCATAAGGAAAAAGAAAGCCAAGGTAAGTACAAAGTTTAACTTGATTGTTAGTGTGAATCAATGTAGAAATGCTAGGAGATATGCTTTGGATGAGATAGAGGGTAGTTTTGATAGAACATGATGGTAAAGTATGGAGCTATGGAGAAGAAATGATGAGGACAAATCATGGTTCAACTGGTTCAACTGGAAGTGGTTTCTTGACCTCCTGTTTGATGACATTAAAAAATGGGACTTGGTCATGGATTGACCCTCATATCAGACCAACACAAGGTATATTTAATGTTATGTTTTGTTTCTGTTGAATGTTTTGTTATGTAATTTTTTACTCAATCCTATTCCATGTTTTCTTTTAGGGATTACTAAAGGTTGTCAAAGAAAGGGTTCTAGCAGCAGATCATAGACAATATGCTAAGCACATCTATGCTAACTTCAAGAAAATATCCAAAGATGAACAATATAGGAAGTTGTTTTGGGCTGCTGTTGGTAGTACTACTGAACTTAAATTTGAGGCAGAAATTGAAAAAAAATGACCCTTTTGGCTTATGAACACCTTATGGAAAGGGACCCTAAAAGTTGGTGTACGACATTCTTTCAAGTGGACAGGGCTTGTGATGCTTACGAGAATGACATATCCAAAAGATTCAACTGTGTTATTGATGTTGCTAGGAAGAGACCACTCCTCACCATGTTGGAAGAAATTCAGATTTATGCAATGGAGAGGATGTATAAAATGTTGGTAGAGGGACAAAGTTGGGGTAATTTAAAAATATGCTCATCTATAAGATTAAAGATATCAAAGTTAAAGAGACATCAAATGTATGCTATAACTTCTAATTTATAAGTATTATTAACAAATGTGAAATTAATAAAACTTGTTATTTTTTGTGGAAAGATTTTGGGGAGTTGTACCTTATGGGGTACAACAATACGAGGTTAGGATTGGAAATGAAGGATATGTTGTGGACCTTAACAACAAGACATGTGGATGCAGATCTTGGCAAGTATCAGGTATCCCATATGTGCATGCAGTGGTAGCCATTTCATACCTCAATAGGAATGCATAGGATTATGTTGCACCATGGTTTACTACAGCCATGTTCTTGAGTTATTACAACCATACCATTAATCCACTTAATGGTAGTTCCATGTGGCATGAAGTTCCCTACATGAAGCCATTTCCTCCCCAAAAAAGAAGGTTACAAGGAAGGCCAACCCTTAAAAGGAAAAAAGGATCAATCTGAGAGAGAAAGCAAGGGAAAAACAAGGCATACTATCTCAAAAGCAAGTATAGTTATGAGATGCACCATTTGTAGAGAAAGGGGCAACAATATATCAACATTCCCTACAAGACCAAAAGATGTAGCATCCACTTCAAGGACAAAAAAGAAGAAAGCTAAAAAATGTAAAAAAGAGAAATGTATGCTATTAAAACAATTTAATCATAATGCAACATCCAACTTCATTAACTACACCTTTGTATAGTAGGTATTGTGGAACCATTTCAAGTGGATGATCCAGTTCAAGTGGATGATGATCAAGTGGATGATGTTCAAGTGGAGGTTCAAGTGGATGATCCTTCTCAACATGTTGATGATGCTCAAGTGCAAGTTGGTGATGTTCAAGTGGAGGTTGTAGTTCCTATTCAACCTGTTGCAACTAGGAAGAGGATAAGAAAATACTCAGAAAGAATTACCAAGATAGGGTTGAGGAGGAAGGTCTTAAAGAAAGAAGGAAGCACTTATCACCACCTAATGGTGTTGTAATGATTATATGTTTTAATATTTTTGGGAAGACAAACTTTTAGTCTTTTAATTATGTAATCGGTCAAACTTTTAGTCATGGCACATCTTATGATATATTAGGACAAATGTGGGCACAACTTCTGTAATGATGCACATGCTAATGGAATCTTACAAGTTTCTCTTTTATCTATATTATATGCTTTGGTGTTTGGTTATTTACCCTTGGATTGTTTCAAATAAGTAAAAACACATCAAGAAATGTTTGTTGCAGTTGTTGTGGTTAATCTGGATCATTTTACCCATGGATCATATTGAGTTCACTAACATAATTAAGGCATTAACAATTGTTTCAAACCAGTCATAACACATTAAGAAATGTTGACTGCTGTTATGGTTAATTTGGACTATTTTAACCCTGCATTATGTCCAATTCACTAAAATATTTAACACATTAATATTTCTTTGAAACCAGTCAAAACATCAAACTATCATTAATCAACAAGATTTAGTCTTAATACATCAAACAAAATACGACATTAAGCCAAAATGATGTTTTGAATACAACTTTCACTAACTACTTCTTAAACACAAACAACAGAAACAACACAATCATCATAACTTTATGAGTAAATAGCTTCCATTTGAATTGCTCAAACTCTTGTCTAACAACCAAATTTTCTTGTTTCATCTTCATCTTGCATATGCTAATCTCGTTTTCCAATGTAGAAACTTTGAGGGTTAAATTGCACAGTTCTTTTTCACGTGTTTTTGTCGAACTGAAGTCATTTTCAAGGGTTTCAGGCTCCAATCATTCCCAAAACTTTCATTTTGGTCCTTCATTCTTGAAAAAAAGAAACAAATTGGTTCAAGGAAGAAGATTAAACCAAAAAGTAAAAACATTTGATTTACAATGGAATTAGGGCACAATCTAAATTTTTTTCTCGGATTATCTTTAGTTCGTGAAGTTCGTACGCGAGATGGTAACCCACAATCACAAGGATTTTCAGGTTGAAATTCAACATTTCGTTTGGAAGAAGAAGAAGAAGAAGCCATGTCGATCTAGGGCATAATTGATGAGAATGATGCATACAACAACTTAATATCGTAGGACTTGCATTTAATTAGCCAAGTGGATGCCATATAATGCCACAGAATAGTCACGTAAGCAGTAACCTACAACAACCGGTCGCGAGGGTTTTGGTGAGCAGGAATAACAAGTTCAATGGTATAATAAGTACAAAAAATGATCAAATGTGAACAAATTTAACACTTGGTTATCCTCCTAAGTTTTTTTCCCTGAGGAAACATATAGTACAACTCTATTTTAACTAGTTCTCTAGAGAAATTTATAAATTTAGCTAAAAACATTAACTATTTTTAAAAAAATAACTAAAAAATAGAAATTTTTAGAAAATAGTCATTCAATTTGAAGGTAATTAGTCACACCTGTGAATTCATACATTAGTGTGTTGGCTACGGTTTGGGTCCAACAACTGTCCATAGGCATACATTTGTGTGTTGAGTGTGGTTTGGGTCCAACAACTGTCCATAGGCAGGAAGTATAAATATCCTATTTTTTAGGAATACCTTCATTTTCTTGTTTTCAGATTACAAAAATTTCTCTCAACCTCTCTAATGACTGAAAATATGTATTCTTCTGAAAACTTGATAGGATCTCTATTTATTTTGTGTTTTAATCATGTTATTAGCTTTTATACATATAAGAATATGATTTATTTTGAAAAGAAGGAAAATATATGAAACGTGGAGAGAAAATCATATCTAGAGGGTATGAAAGAGATCAAATTGCATCTGGAGTGTAGCAAATAGCAGATGTATGTTGGATTTTGAAAGCATTTCGCAGGTGGATGAAACGTACAAGTTACCGATGCACAAGCCATGCATCAGGGACTTGTACTTTCACATATACACGTGTAGATGAAAACATACAAGTTATTGATACACAAGTCTTGCATAAGGGACTTGGACTTTCACATGTGGATGGTCCTTATGTGAATGTGCATTTAACTGATGTACGACTCGTACATCAGTAGATTGTACATGCAATTGTTTTTTGCCAAATGCTTATCGCGTTTTTAGAATATTATTATCAGTTTATAACGCACCTTAATTACAATTTATGACTTATACATTAGTACAAATGCTTCTCAACTATCTCCCACCTCCCGCCGGTTACAAGGACAATGAAATATTTACTAGAACTCATTTTAGTACAAACATAAAAAGCTAAAATTGAAAAGAAAAAATTGATAATCTAACATCGCTTAGATAGTTTTTATATATAATCTAGTGTAATTGTACGAATTCGTAGTCAACACGGTCATATTTCATAGTCAAACTTAAGTATTTTTCTTAGAAAATAAAAAAAAATCAAGAATTTTCGAGGGTAAATCGCAGGTGGAGGCAGAGAAAATCGCAGGTGGAGCATACTCATCTGCAATTTGTTTAAAAAAATCTTTAAAAAATTATTTTAGGGTTAATGTCATAAAAACCTTCAAGTTTTCAGGGTTTTGTTGGTTTTGCCCAAAGTTGAATTTTATGTCTGTTTTTACCCTTACATTTTCCAAAAAAATGTTCGGTTTTACCCTTTTACCGGTGATAGCAGGTTTTCCATGTTACCATTATATTAAATTCGCAAAAAAACCCTTAGGTTTATAGTTTTTTTACGCTTTTACCCTTAAGTTTATAATTTTTTTATACTTTTACCCTATGTATTTTTTTCATATTATACGTATTCAATGCAAAAAAAATCATATTTATATACGATAAAAAATTAATTAAATATTATATTTACATTTTGTAATGTTATTTCTTTATGTGTCTGTGTGTGTGTGTATATATATATATATATATATATATATATATAATATATATATATATATATATATCTATATATTTTCTGGATGAACCGTTTAAATGTAAAACAAAAAAAAAACAAATTAATATGTTTTTATAACTACAAATACGTATGTTTATGTATTTAAAAATATGCATATCAATAAAATAACTTGTTCAATCATAAACGTGTGTGTGTGTCTATATATATATATATATATATAATATAGATATATATATATATATATATATATTAGAAATGTTAATATGTATTTTAGAATTACAAATATTTATTTTTACGTTTATATAAGTATATACATATATTTTTAGAAGTGTAAATATGTATTTTGATATACGTTTTTTTAAAAGTATAAATATATTTTTAGAAGTATATATACAAATTAATATTTCTAAAAATATAAAAAAATGTATTTATACTTCTAAAACTATATTTATAAAATACGTATTCATAATTCTAAAATATTAGTTTATTTTTAAATGGTATAACGCTGCAAACACACACCACCCACACACACTATATATATATCTATTATATATATACCCACACTATTTACTTAAATATTTTTTCGTATATAAATACGATTTGCATTAATACGTATATTATGAAAAAAAATACTTAGGGTAAAAGTGTAAAAAAATTATAAACGTAAGGGTAAAAACATAAAAAAACGATAAAATTAAGGGTTTTTTTGCGAATTTAATATAATGGTAACATGGAAAACCTATTATCACCGGTAAAAGGGTAAAACCGAACATTTTGTGGAAATTGTGAGGGTAAAAACGGACATAAAATTCAACTTTGGGTAAAACCGACAAAACCCTGAAAACTTGAGGGTTTTTATGACATTAACCCATTATTTTATACTCATTTTTGTTGGGCCATGGGCCGAAAGTGTGCCAAAATCGCAGTCCAATAAGGCAATTTGCAGCTGGAGGATACCAAATAGCAGATGGGGTCTAGCCAACTGCTATTTCTTTGGCTAGTTTCTGAAAAAAAAAATTGTTTTGCATCTTAAATATGATATTATAAAAAGCTATTTCTTTTAAGGGTGTTGCATCTTAAAACTTTGGATATTCATATTCACCCGGTTAGTGACCTGTTAAGATGCACAAAAGCCTCGAAATTAGATAGTTGTAAATTACTTATTAGAAAGTAGTATATACATTGACTTATTAAAAGTATCACTGAAATCTAGTAAAAAAAACTTGAGGTATGGTAGACTTAGGAGGACAAGCAAAGGGACCGACCAGATTGAACCAAACTGGAACCGGTATTGGACCGATCCTACATTATACAGGATGGTTTGCGATTCATCAAATATCTTAATACAATTTTTGTGGTTTCGATTCCATTGGACTTATCGAGAAGGCCAAAATGACTTACTAGGGTTGGATAATGACTTAATGGGGACTGGAAATTACTTCATGGGCTATAAAATTACTTTGTGAGGCTGGAAAAGACTTAATAAGCTGAAAAAATGACTTAATATGGCTGAAAATGACTTTGGAACCGCAAACTGACACCGACACCAGAACCGATTTAGTCTATAGAGGTCCAATTTTTGGTTTTTCATTTCAGCATCGATTGGTTTTCGGTATTTTCGGTTGATGTGTGTTTTGACTTTTATACCATTCATTTTAATCAAAAAGGAGAATTATGATGAATATATACAAGTCAAAATAATTTTTAAAGTGGATGGATAAAAAACATAAGTGAAAATATCACTTCCATAAAAAGACACACATGAAAATATCACCTCCCATTAAATATGTTTTAGGTTATTATATAATATTGTAACGAAAAAGAAAAGTTAGGGGAACAGAGGTAGTGGGGACTCGTTGCGCGAAGGGGAAATAACATGGGGTGCAATGTTCTCTACGATTACGTGTATGCGAAACATATCATATGATGTTTGAATTTTCTTGTGATCGTCAATTTGATGACAATATCAATTCCTTTGTGTTCATGCAACTTATAAAAATCCAAGTTTCATTATATTATTGCAACTACTAAAAGGTAATAAGAAAATTACATACCTCTTTTGAAGCTATAGATCTCCTTGCTTAAGATCTAGTTCTTGCCACCTTTGCTTAGATGAGAGAACCCAAAGTAGATTCTCTATAATGGCTCACACCCAAGAACA